AATCATGTTATTCTATCTGGTGGCTATTCTGTTAGGTGGGGAATATAATGTGGCTAAGAGTCAAGAGACAAATTCTGGTTGCGGAATGAAAAGAATTGCTAGAAACTTACTCCAATAAACTAAATATTACTTACTCCAATATAACATATATATTGAACAAATTTGATTAACGCAAATGGAGTTAAACTAATTTTGGCTTGTTATATGAGAGTTGCAAATATAATATGTGGTCTTTAAACCCATTTAAGTATGTAGTTGGTGTGACGTTGAATCCAAGTGTCTTGACAAATCTGGAAACTTGCAAGCACTGAGCTTAATCAAACCTCAAATTTTTTAGCAATATAGCAAGGTTGTTTTTAATGCAAATCTGTTCGGCAACGTCATTTGAAAAGCTATCACCAGCTGACAATATTCTGATTTTCAAAATCATCCCATCAACAGAACTGTATCTCCTTTTAAGAGTTGTCAATTATTATTTTAAGATCCTAAAGCTGCTGGGAAAGAAGCTGTTAAGCGGCTAGCTGCCCTCCACATTTAATAAAAACCTATATTGTAGGGTTAGTTTAAGGGAAATAAATCCAGAAAGCTATTTAAAAATGTAAAATGTTTAGTGACAATGTTGTTAACCATGCTAATACAAGCATGGTTAAAAACATCGTCCACATAATTGAAACATTCAAAGGTTTTAGTTTAGTTGTCAAGGCTTGCTTTGAATTAATCTTTCAGCCAAGTTTTGCTTTAAAAAATTGAAAACTTCAAAAGGTTTTACTTAATGTAATTGGTGCAATTGTGACACCCAAAATTCATACTGTCTTTTACCAGTCAGTCATAAATGATCCCAATTCGGGTTCTATAGTGAACAAACTATAGTGAACTGCTCATCAAAATTTTTTATCAACATTGGTCAAGGTAAACAAAACAATTATTTAGAGTACAAAAAAAAATTGTTGCGCTGTATAATTAATTTGAACAGCAAGCATATTTAAAGAACGGCTAGAAAGGTTGGAGTTATAAGAGATATAAAAATTAATATAATGAACACCCGCATCTTCGTATTAGCATAAACATTCGTATAAACAGCATTTTTGTATTACCCGAACCAGCAATATCACGGCACTACACTTTTTAATCATAATAAAGTTCTATATTTATCAAAAATCAAATATCTTCAAAGTTAATTTGTTTGTTTAGTTACTGCTACATTATACAATTTTATTTAGAACTGTAGAAGTACAAAAAAATACATAAAATAATAAATAATTTATCTATTTATAACCGTAGAAGTGCAAAAATAATAATAATAATAATAATTGATGTATTTACAACTGCAGTAGTGCAAAAAAATAAAAAACATAAAATAATAAATTATTTATGTATTTAGAACTGTAGAAGTGCAAAAAAAAAATAATAATAATAATAATAAATTATTTATGTACTTGTAACTGTACTTATAAGTGCACAAAAGTATATATAAAATAATAATTAATGTATTTGTATCGAAATGTATCAACTAGTTGGCTAAATACAGCGTATTTAAAACAAAACAAAAATTTTTTTAGAAATATTTTTAGTACTTTTGGAAGGAAGGAGAGAAGGGGGTGGGAAGGGTATATAATATTGTTATTAAAAAACGAAATTGTACAAATCTTAATATATAAAAAAAAAAGCCGCAAAATAATTTTTTTTTTTTTTTTAATATAACTTTTTTTTTTTTAAATTGATTTTTAGATTTTAATTAAGGTGGTTCATACCCTTAAAAAAAATTTCAAAGAAAACTAGTTATTTTGAGTTGTTTTTCAAGTTAACCTATATAAATCAATGAACAATTTCCATTAAAATGAAAAATAAAAATCTGTATATATTTTTGTCTCATTTATTCATACTTTTATGCTTAAAAAGACAAAATTTAAATCTGCGATTAAGTAAGAAAGATTTGCTTTTTGAACCTAAAACTTTTAGGCTATCATTATTAGGTAGTTACACAGGAGTTAAAGCAGATTCAGAAATTTCCTACACGTTTTACAAAAATTATAAGAAAAATTGTAAAAAAAGGCAAAATCCAATAGGGGTGTATACAAAAAAAGCTATTAAATCAACATTTTAAAAACTTTGTCTTGGTTCTGCTTCAACTCCTTTACAATACCACTACAATTATACCCTGAAAATTTCAAATCATTTAGACAATCAGATCGGAAGATATTTCAAATATAAAACTGAAAATAACTAAAAAAAGAAAATAGGTTAAAACTAAAAAACAAAGAAAAAAATGCAATAAAATAATTATTAAACCTCAGCTGCATAGGCTGGTATAGTTTCACTTTGGTTTTCTTCCTCCACAAATTCTTTCTTAATGGTTTTCAGTTTCTTTCTTCTCTCAGTTTCCCTTTTAGTGCACTTTTTATTCATTAATGTTTTACTTTGATTATCCATTTACGTAGCATAATTAATAAAAAAAAAACTTTTTCGGAAGGTCTGCAGTGTGTTTTGTTACCACAGAACTTTCTTTTATGTTTTAAAAGTGTTAATTTAGGCATAAGTTAATTTCCTCTAAATTTAAACACCCTAAATTTATTTTTGTATTATTTATTTGAAATATATAACAACAATAGCAATAAACAAATAAAAATCACTTGGCAGCTGTAAAGACTGCAAACTAAACAACACTAATTTCATGTGGAAAAAAATGTTATTTTAAAGTATGGATTTTAAATAACTATTGTCTTGCTTTTTTAGCCTCAATAACAATTTTTCCGACTTGATAATGCAAGTTTTCAAGCTTTTAATCTAATTTATTTCAATATTGAGGAGTCGTTGCTATGGTGTTGCTAAGAGCGTGATTTTTATAGGGTTGCATAAAAATAAATTTTAGTCAGCATATTCAATATTTTTATAACTTCCAATAATATATTTGAATTTATTATAAAATTTTGCATACAAAAACGCCAAATTTTTTTTTTAGATTTTTGACTAAAAATAAGGGTATGTAGTAACCACCTTAACATATTTGAATAGATCTAATTAAGATACATTAAAAAAAAGTTTTTTAGACATCTGAATCTATATTTTTTATTTGCTTATTTTTATTAATAGAATTTTATTAATAGTTTTTTATTGGAGGGATTTGCACATACTTATACCCAAAAACCGTTTTTGATTTATTTAACTAATAAAAATTTTCCCAGAACTTTAAAAGTTTACCTTTGCTTTCATACATAACGCATCAGTTGTAATCAACCCATCAGTTCTTGAAGTCTTTAACATTAGTTCTTGAAAAAGTTTTTTAACATTACAACTTTATTTATTTTTTTATAATAGCCAAGACTTTATTTTCTTGAATACACATTTTTTCTTTATTTTATTGAAACAAACAATTTATAGAAGAATTTAGTATACTTAAACATAGCTATTAAACAATTCAACTTCTAACTAGGACACAAACCTTGTTTATTACTTCAAGCTGAGAAATAGATAAGCTTTCATTAAAAAGTATTTTTATGAAGATTAATCTATTTCTTTTATCTCATATTCGTGGTGGATATTAATCTTTAAATAATTTTTTTAATACTTTTTTTCCTTTATTTTTTTCAAACAATTTATAAAATAACTGTTGTTCTCTATAATTTTAACTGTATGTTCAGTTAATATATACCGATGTCATTTGCACAAATCAAAATTCCATTAATATAATTTTTCAAATTGAGATCAAAAAACTCAAAAGAATATATGCTCCCTTATTTATTACTGTAAAAGCTATTGTTGTTACGAAAAGCGCATTTATTAAATGTAGGTAAAAAATATTTTAATGATTTCGGCGAATGCTTTAATTACCATTTTAAATGTAACCAAGCATGTGATTTAAACTCAGACCGTTACATTTATGAAACACTTTAAACGCTTACTTTTAGGTGCAGAATAAACACCCCAGCTTGTTTATTTGGCGCTAAAACCCTCAACATTTTTTTGTAAATTAAACTTTTTTTACTAAGTTTTAAGTTTTTTAGTAAAAAGAACTAAAAAGTTAACAAAAAAAATGTAATTTGGTTCAAGGTTTGTATTAAAATGTTGTGTTTTAAAATCTTGTATTAAAGGCTTGTATTAAAGAGTTATAAAATAGAGTGAAAAAATTAAACTAGAGTGAAGATTATTTTTTTAAATATTACCAAGTTTTTTACAGACTAGATTTTATGTTTTAATTTAATAAAAAAATTCTACTCCAATTACTAATTTTAACTCTTAAGGGAAAAAATTTCAAAAGCGTACGTATTGTTTAGGAGGAAGAAGTGGATGGGAAACTCATATGTAGGCTTGGTAACAGGAGAAGAGAGGTCAAAATTTTTAAAATTTTGGCGTACGTACTTTATAGATGATTCCTATAACAATTTATTTTTAGAATAAAACAAACTTTAATGAACCGTAAATACTTTAGATATAATAAGTAAATATTTCTTTATCATTTGGTGATGCTCGTTTTAGAACGTCCATTTAAAAAATAAAATATTAAGTTGAGTTGTTTGAATTGTTCAAATTTTCGAAAAAGAAAATTTTTTTTATAAGGATTTTAATAAAGTTTTGTCCAAGCTTTTGAATAAAATCACAACAAAAAACTAGCGACTTAATTTAGTAGAGACAAACGATAGAAACCACAGAAAGATTGGTGTTATAAAAGCATTCTTAAAAAAGAAAAGAAAAGAAAAATAGAGTTAAAGGTGAATTAATAACTAGTTTTGTTAAAACGTCATTTAACCTGTAACTATACACTCAAACACAGATATATTTGAAGTGCGTTGTCCATGTGTGCAAATGACCCAAAATTTGACCCAAAGCGCACTGTCCATGTGTGCAAATGACAAAAACCCAAAATTTGACAAAAAGATTGGCAAAAAAAAAATGTATAAAAAGTATATTTAGTATAACTTGCAATAAACTATGCAATATACATATTTATATTTTAGATATAAATTATATATCTATTATATATTAGATACATGAACAAAACGGAATTTAAAAATTTATAATACAAAAGTTAAGTATTTACAAGTTAAGTTAGTTTCAAGACAGAAGTTTAAAACTTCACATTCACAATTTTTTTACACTTAATTTCAAGTTTCGCTTCATTTTTTATTCGATCTTCTAAACATTTTATAAAATATTTCGTTGTACTCGCATTATTTTTACCTGAATAAAATTAAAAAAAAAGAAAAATAATATGATGTAGTTAATTTTTATTTTATTAAAAAAAACCTGAAACTTTAAACAAAAAAGCGATACCATTTGGAATTATTTTGTTATTTGATTTAACATAAGGTGATTTTAATGGCTGTTTAGTGACGTGGTTTGATCTAACAGGCAACAAGTGATTTTTAGTTATTGTGGCACCAAATATATCCTCATGATAACGTCCGTTCTTCTAAAATCAAAAAAAAAAGTCTAAATAATTTCAACATATTTATACATACATTTTACCATGACTAACTGCCAGACGTGCAATTAAAAAGTATATTAAAAACATAATATACTTTTTAATTGATGCTACAGGCATAAATTAAAAAATAAATTACAACCTCTATATCAAAAGTTTTCTAAAAAAAAAAAATTGTCCTTTAGAAAAAAATAGGGTGGCCTCTGGCCCTCCCGGTGTCGTCGGCCTTGTATTAAGTTGTTTTGATGTTTTTAAGCTTTTTTTTAAAAAAAAAATTTTACTTTAAAAAAAAGCTTTTTAAAAAATTCTTTACCTTTTGTTTGCGATAGTATATAATATCTTTATTTATGTTATGTAATAACTATAGAACTTTAAAAATGATTATTTTGTATTTTAGAAAATTAGAAAAGATTAAAAAAAAAATTAAATGTGCACGCAAAAGGATTTGAAAACCCGCGTTGCACTTCAGAAGCGCAGCGAGCTTCGCCCACTTCGGCATACTATGGCTATTTAATATAACAGAAAAAAGGTTTAACTTTATAAAACGACAAATAAATGCTATAAATCATCAAATTAAAGAGATATTGCCAAAATGCAATTTTCAACACACGCATATATATACACACATATTTTCAACACATATATATACACACACACACACACACACACATATATATATATATATATATATATATATATATATATATATATATATATATATATATATATATATATATATATATATATATATATATATATATATATATATATATATATATATATATATAAAGTTATTTAGGTACTCCGAGAAGAACGGTCTCATCATAAAGCACCGAGGAATAATATTTAACCAGGAAGTTCAGGCATCCATCCTTACCAATGTCGCATACATGGCCAAAGCCGGCGAGTATATATATATATATATATATATATATATATATATATATATATATATATATATATATATATATATATATATATATATATATATATATATATATGTATATATATATATATATATATATAACGTAATAAAAAACGTAATAAAAAGTTAAAATATTAATTACAACATTAAAATTTTTTTTTTTTTTTGCTAGACATAGACATCAGTTATTTATGTGCCATTCTAGCCTTATAAACAGTCTCTTCTCTCTATGCCCCATACACAAGTATTGATGCCCTGGTCAAGGCCGACGTGATGGTGATAGGGTGTGTGTGACACTCCCCCCCCCCCTATCAATGATATTTTCGTTAATCGGCAAATTTGATCTTATATTATATTATAAATATTTTCGTTAGTCGGCAAATTTGATCTTTTTTGACTAGTCAATTGGCAAATGTTGACCCTTTCAACAAGTTAGTCGTTAAACTCAGAGAGTCAGTCGGCAAATGTCGATGAGGTAGTCGGCAAATTTTAAAAAACGAAGACATTTTTTTTTTCAAGTCGGTAAAAGTTGAATTGGCACACACCCCCATCACGTGACATCTACTCGCGCCGGCCCTGGCCCTGGTGATCTCTTTCACAATGTATTTAATAGAATAATTATGAACAGGAAAATTTGGTACAATCATTAGATTGTTAATAAATTGTATTATATCTCGGTTCTGTAAACAACTAGTAATAAACAATTGTAATTTGCGCAGATCTTTGTTTCTTAATCCATGTGCGGAGCACCAGATTCTTCAGTCAATTTGGGAGATTCAATCATCCTACATGATTGTGTGGGCCAACTTAAATCTTTTCTAAATCATCGGGGAAAACACCTTACGCAATTGCATTGTATATTTTGTACAAAAAATTCTGATCTGTAGACAATGAATCTACAATTTTCTTTTCAAGATATATTAGTTTTAAAACAATATAAATAACAACATATTGGTTAATTTTTAGTAAAACAATATTTTTGCATAACAAATCTATTAATTTTATTAACTAATTTGACTTCAGCTATCTCATCTTGTGATTCTAGTGTTGGTGGTTATCTTCCTTTAATTCATAAAGACTACAATAATCACATGATTGACCTAGGCATCTACATTTGTTAGAATAAACCCATTTGTAGGGAGACTAGGTTTGAATTCACAGACTATTCTTTTATGTGCTTTTGTTTAGCTCACCCTATTATAGCCTTTCTCACTCTCCTCCATCTCAAAACTGCACTTTTTTTGATGTTATTTCTGATCAAATTGACCTAACCCTCTCTCTTTATTCATCAGCTAATATTGTTGTTGTTGGTGAGTTTAATGCTTATCATACTAAATGGCTTGGCTCTAGTGTCAATGACTCTGAAGGCGTTAAAGCTCACAACTTTTGCCTTTTTCATTCCTTAAACAGTTAACTTTCCAAATTGGTTCCCAGACAACCCGAATCATTTACCTTCTTGACTTATATCTTGTTTCTGATCCTAGTCAGAGCTTAGTTTCTCCGCATTCACTCTTAGGTGCTTTTGATTACGGTTTGATCTCTCTAAAACATTTATCTTATTCTTCTTCATCATCAGAATCCCCTATCATTGTACCTCTTACAACTACCTTAAAGCTGACTGGGACTCTCTGTGATTTTCTTTGTGATGGCCTTGGGTAGAAATCTTTCATCTTCTTTTTTTCATTTTCCTGATGACAAATGTGCTTCTTACATATCTTCTAGGATTCAAACTGGTCTGTTAATGCTTTATTCCCTATTGACGATTCCAAGTCCAGCCTCACTTTTCTCCTTGGTTTTCCTCACATTGTACTGCTGCAATTTCCAATCGAAATCGTTACTTCCATATCTATCAGCAAAACAATTCTCCAGAAAACAGACACCTGTTAGTCTGTATGTGTTTGTGCTGCTGCAATTTTTATTGTAACTGTTATTTTTTTAATTTATTGATTTATTTTCTTTGCCTTTTAATAAAATTTACAATAAAAAAGATGGTACACGTATAATAAATAAAAGATGGTACATGTATAATAAATGGGTAATTTTCTAATAGAAACCATTTAGATACTCTTTTGAATTGTTCTAATGAAAAAAATTTAGAAGAGTTTCATTTTTAATGACAAGTTTCAAACCATTACTTTCTTATCTATCACCAAAACAATTCTCCAGAAAATAGACATCTGTTTACTACCGCTAGAAACCATTGTAAAAAGATTTTGTCTAACGTCAAAGCCTGCTATTCTGAGGTCACAAAGTCTCGTATTTTATCTCAAAAATTAGATTTTCATGACTTCTGGAGAATTTTTCAGCAAAGCTGAATTGTTTGTAAATAATTTCTTATCAATATTATTTCTTGATTCCACTAGCCGCGTTCTACATGATATAGTCAACAAAAAGATTAATCAATTGCCTGCCTTTGTATCACTCTAGGCTTCTGTAACTAAAGTAATTTTGCTTATATAATTTGTGGTTCAGACAACATATCTATTATAGTCTTGCAAAAGTTGTCTTATCAGAGTCTTGTTTTCTGCCTGCTGGAAAGCTACATCTGTTATCCCTAATTTCAAAAATTTTGGAGAGCAATCTGACTCATCTAATTATGCTGAATGACAAGTCAAATGATAATGAGTTTTAGTTGATTGAACTAGAGATAATATCTCCTTTGAGCAGCAACTAAATTGTATGTGTAGAAAAGAGAAAGAGATGCAACTTTATGACAATGGGAAAGAGGAATAGAGAAGGAAGAGAAAAGGAATGATACTCTTTCACTTCTTTTCACTAGAAGTGAAAGAGTATCATTAAAAGAACCAGCCTAAATATAACAGCAGTATTCCATACAGGGATAAATAAGTAGTAAATAATAATCCAAAAAGATGTAAAGAAGAGGACTCAATAAGAAGTTTGCCATTAATTAATATAGAAATGTCAACAGTATTGCTATACTCGTTTGCAGTAAATAACTGAGTTTTGCTGGAGTCAAAATTTAGAAGCCACTGTGAGACCACAGAAGATCAGATTTAAGATCAGAACAAATCTCAAGAAATTAAATAGTTTAGAGAGAACTGAACTTCTGGAGTATAATTTTGCAAGACTATTGTTTGGACCACAAGAAGAGTTTAACTGATGATTTCAGCAATAGAAGCTGGAGTGATTTGAATTTCTACCAATGGGTTAACCTGTTTAGCTGAAATGGAAGAAAGAGAAGATTTAAGATTCGAAGATTATAGATTTGTGGTAGGATTTAAGAGTCGAATTAGACAATAAAGGCTCTTAGCAATTAGTAATGTTTTTCCTTGGCAGAGGTAATAAGATTAGTCCCATAAATGTTAGATCTTTCCTTGTTAATGACGCTGTTGAAGATTGTTGTTGATGACGCTGTTAAAGATTTTCCAAAAGTCTCTAGAGCCTAACTTCTGAGATAAGATGATTTAATGAACTGTGAACAATGGAGACACCCTTTTACACCTATTTCTTGCAATAATAAATTTAATTTATTCTCAAGAGAGTTGTTCTTTTAAAAAAAGATGAAAGAATGATTAGATATAGCAGCTGCACAGGAAGGTGAAAATAATGAAGTAGAATGAGGTTTAGTTTGGAACCAATGAGTAGTAAGTAGCACAATGATAGGGTGAGTTTAAAAAGAAAGTATGAGATGAAAAATTTAAAGAGATCATTGCAAGGTCAGAACCACGTAAAGGAGAAAAGAGAGAGACTGAACACAAGCTAGGATTAGAGACCAAACATAAATCAAGGGCTGAAGGTAAAAGATTAGGGTTGTCAGGAAAACGAACCACAAAGTTAACTATCTGAGTAAGATATTGAGGCTGACAGAAGTTATAGACTTTAGTGCCAGCAGGGTCAGTGGCATTAGAACCAAACCATTCAGTGTGAAGAGCATTAAAGTCACCATAACAACAATTTTACAGAGGGGTAAAGAGAGAGGTCATGATCAATTTAAACAGAAATTACACTTAAAAGAGTGCAGTCTTGAGAAGAAGGAGAACAATAAAGAACAAAGAGAAAGGTGAGTGAAGAGCTAAACCGAAACACATAAGAGTGAAGAGCT